GGTCAAATATGGACTAACCCAACTTTTGGGTTAAAAATGTAATTGAAAAATTTAACCCAACAGCTGGGTTAGTCCATATTTGACCCAAAGTTGGGTTGAAACAACCCAGCATTTTTTAGAGTGTAGGTTTAGGGGTGGAAATGGGATCCAGGGGGTGGAGATGGGTAGGTTTAGGGGTGGAAATGGCATCCAGGGGGTGGAAATGGGTAGGTTTAGGGGTGGAAATGGGATCCAGGCAGTGGAGATGGGTTGGTTTAGGGATATGTAAAGTGGGAGGAGTTATTACTATGTAAGTACACAGGTATTAGGGCCACTTAATATAAAGTGGTACCGGATTGGTCCAACGAATCGAATCATTCGGTTTGTAATGAGTAACGAACCGAAAGCCTCGTACCGAACGGTTCAATACGAATACGTTGCTTTATATCAAGAAAAGACTAATTAGTAAAATCTACACCATCCAGTCCTTTATTCAAGCCTGTATTTCAGTCAGCATGTATCATTGATTAGTAGGTGGGCTTGTTTTGCCTGTATATGGGCCACACTGAGAGAGTCTCTGCTCTGTAGTCTCAGTGATATGACCAGTGAATCTGGGTCAGTTGCTTTCCCTTGAGTGAATCTCGACTAGACTATCTTGTGAGTCAATGTATAGAGAGCCAAAGCTCTAGAGATTGTAACATAGTTGATAAGTGCATGTGTGTAGTAGAATTTGGGTCTGGCTTCAGTGTTAAAGGTCTGAGGGGTGATTCAGAGTTAGCATCTGGTGCTGCTCTGGAGTTATTTAAAGGTGTAGAGTATCATCGAATGCAATAAAAAAAAATCATGATTTTTTTCAAACAGGTTTCCTGAAAACATTCTTCTCATCTGCCATAAGATTTAAATGACCCTGTTAAATCTGAAAAGCCTGAAGGAAAGTTTATCTTAGTAAGTCTCACCTTGAACCACATTTTCCACAGTTTTAACAACAACAAAAAAGTATATATATATATTTTCATTTATGTTTTCATTTATGTTTTTGTGATTTATTTGTGGATATAACATTTTCAATTATATATATATATATAATTGAAAATGTTATATCCACAAATAAATCACAAAAACATAAATGAAAATTGGGTGACACTTTACAAAGGTTTCATTGACTGAGACAGAGCCGGCGGAGCGGAGAGCCAAGGTGGAACTGGCGAAGCAGAGGGCCAAGGTGGAGCAGTGAGCCAAGGCGGAGCCATCGGAGCAGAGAGCCAGGGTGAAGCCTGCGGAGCAGGGAGCCAGGGCGGAGCAGTAAGCCAAGGCAGAACCAGTGGAACAGAGAGCCAGGGCAGAGCTAAGGACCACCATGGCTGAGCAGGCAGAGCAGAAAACCACCAGGGCGGAGCTGATGGTGCAGGATACCACCAAGGCGGATCAGGCAGAACTGGAACATAGAGCACAGAGAGGTTAACAATGGCCTCAGCGGCCGTAACAAGACTGGCAGACAGTTCAGAAATGGAATCTTTAGCCATAACAGGGTGAGCAGAGAGTTCAGGGGCAGCCTTTTTGACCGTGGCTGGAATGTCAGAGAATTCAGAAACGGCCTTCTTAGCCGTAACAGGATAGGCAGAGAATTCACAGACGGCCTCCATAGCTGTGACAGGACAGGCAGAGAGTTTACAGACGACCTTCTTGGTTATGACAGGGCAAACAGAGAGTTCGGGAGAGGCCTCTTCGGCCGATTCAGAGCAGGATAAAAGTTCATAAGTGGCCTCCGTAGCCTTGACAGGACAGGCAGAGAGTTTGCAGACGGCCTCCATAGCCGTGACAGGACAGGCAGAGAGTTCACAAACGGCCTCCATGATCTGGGAGGAACAGCTAGGACGTGACGTGACTCTGGATGAACAGCTGAGACGTGACGTGACTCTGGACGAACAGCTGAGACGTGACATGACTCTGGAAGATCAGCTGATATGTGATGAGATTCTGGGAGACCAGCTGAGACGTGACTTGACTCTGGACGATCAGCTGTGACATGACGTGACTCAGGAAGATCAGCAGTGACGTGACTTGAACCAGGAAGATCAGCCGTGATGTGACTTGACTCAAAATGATCAGCTGTGACTTGACTTGACTCAGGGATGGCAGCAGTGACGTGACTTGAACCAGGGAACCACATAACAAGAGAGCATCGTCCATACTGTCCCTCAAACTACCGTTAAACTCCCCTCCAGGTAACAATGATTTAGTTGGTTCACAGAGTCCAAAATGGAACAAGTCCTTAAACAAAACTTCATCATAAAGCGGTACTTGATATGACAACTCACAGAACCGGTGAACATACTCCTCAATAGATAAGCCTCCTTGACGAAGATGTAATAGCTGGTCTACTGGGTCCATGCTTGGGCTGGGTTGCTGAATAAAGCCGCTGGATCCAGGTGGGGCTGGTGATTCTGTAACGATTGAGGTGTCGTGACAACGAAGTGGGGATCCAATAGCAGGCTTTATTAAAAAGAGCGTAGTCAGGACAGGCAGGGTCAGATACCAGCAAACAATAACATCCAAGGCACAGACAAAAGAGTAATCCAACAAGACAGGCTATGATCAGGGCAGGCAGCAGTCAATCAAAAACAAGACAGTCCAAGGATCAAAACACGAGAAAGGCAAAACTAGGAACATGGAAACTAGAAAACACGGAAGGGCTAAACATTCAATCACCAGCCATGACAGAGAGTGTGTGTGTTATTCTTATAGGCCTACTAATGTGAGACAGCTGTGAACTGATGATGAGATCTGATGAGAGACAGGTGATGCACTTGATGAGTCCGGACAAAGGATTATGGGAAATGGAGTCCTGAGTGAATGGCAAGGTACAGCTGGAGATCATGACACATTTGTTAACAGTAATTTCTAGATCAGTTAACATGAACTATTACCAGACTTCTACAGAATTTTTATTGATGTTAATTGTGAAATAACACGCGCAAATATGAACGTGGTTTTGCGCAGCTTGTCAGTGAACAACGGCTCTGTGTAGTTAATGCTGCTCAATGTGAAAGCCCGCAGGTGATGGAGATTTACCGCTGATTACAGAACCGGCTTTTCTGACAAGATGCCGGTTGGGGGAAGTCGTGGCCTAATGGTTAGAGAGTTGGACTCATAACCCAAAGGTTGCGGGTTCGAATCTCGTACCGGCAGGGATTGTAGGTGGGGGGTGTGAATGTACAGCGCTCTCTCCCACCTTCAATACCACGACTGAGGTGCCCTTGAGCAAGGCACCGAACCCCCAACTGCTCCCCGGGCGCTGCAGCATAAAAATGGCTGCCCACTGCTCCGGGTGTGTGTTCACAGTGTGTGTGTGTTCACTGCTGTGTGTCTGCACTAAGGATGGGATAAATGCAGAGCACTAATTCCGAGTATGGGTCACCATACTTGGCCACATGTCACTTCACTTTCACTTAAATATCGCATGCGATTTTATCGTGCAGCCCTAATAAATATAATTACATTTTCAGTCAAACATTACTTTTTAATCTCTCATAATGGTGTTTTTAATTTAAATCTCATTTCTACAATATGAAAGCTTAAAATTGCTCATTGGATTTTTATGGCCTATGCACCTATTAACCTTGTTTGAACTCCTTTTAATGTGCAGTGAGTTTCAATTAAAAACACAAAGCACAAAGAAACACGACTTCAAAGTTTAATAGTAATTTATTCTAACTGCTTTTGCATTGACTCATCTCCCCCTGTCGCTCTCATGCCCACATATTGCCTCCGTACATATATACAACATATATTTACCACTCAGGTTCAGCTGAGCTCATGGTCCAGTGAGATCATTTACATCTAGTTCGGTGGACCTGTGTAGGTGTAGGTAATGTACAAACCGCCACTGAATACTGTGCAAATTATCGCCACGTCATTCCCCTCAAACACAAAAGTAATACTGTTCACTCAGTATCGGCCATAACGAGAACTAAATGATCGACTCCGGATACAAATTCACTCCTGCCTGGTTCTCAACGCCTTGTTATTTTATTCCATATCAAAAATGTCAAAACATTGTGAGCTAACTTCAGCCCACACATATATCACAAGCCTCTCGCCGGGCCTGCGCTGTTTGTTCCTCCCGGATTGAAACAATTTTTCTCTCCTGTTCTCTATATCTCCTCTCCTCGCGATCACAAATTGAGGCAGGAAATTGAGAGAGGAAGGCAGAAAGAGAGAGGGGAGAAAATGAAAAGCCCCTCGCTGCTGGACCTCCTGCATATTTCCTTTTGTTAAATCATTTTCGGCTGACTCGCTGCAGGAAATATTCTCCTCTCCGCTTGCTTCCTACACAGCTCATTAGACCTGAAGATCCCCATCGTCCGTCAAACCCACAGTAGCTGAGTAGGGAAGCTCTCGTGTCCTGAACCTGTGCCTCATCCACCTCCAGAGAGAGGAGGCCACCTTTGTGTTATCTCTCAAGTGCAGGATTGCAGTTCAGTTTTAGGGTTTATATCCGAAACTCCATTTAAATCACGTTAATGCACTTTTTAGAGCTGGTCCAAATGGATTTGTGTCACATAAAAACTATGGAGGACATGTTTGTTTAGTTGTATTCCTACAATTTAAATGACCCTGGGCTGTGTGAACGGTCTTATGGGAAATTTAATTGTGTTAGTCAGACTCGGGGCTCATCTTGTCTCACATAACCAGATTTTAGACATAGTCTCAAGTTATTCTGGACAAAAATTGCTCAGTTGTCTGAGATGTGAAGTGACCAAAAACATTTTCTAGGTGGCTTTTAGCAGTATTTTTTTATTTTATTTTATTGTGTAAAAATTAAATAAATGGTAATAAAATATATGAATAACATCAAATATTAAAATAAATGTTAATTTTATACACATATAAAATAAAGTGAATATTTTGTATTTAAAATTAAATGCAAATAAATAAATAAATAAATAAATAAATAAAATAATTGCTCAATGTAATGGCTGTACCAAAATGAGTAAAGTGTTTAAAAATATGGAAAAATATGCACCACTGAAGCTGAGACAGGGCTCACATTTGCTCTTACATGTTGATTTTACAAAACTGAAAATAATTCGGTCAGTCATGTTTCAAATGTTTCTATCAGAATGTAAGATAAAAAAATATATTTTATTTCTGGTTTTATTTTATTAATTATTTTATTTTATTATTTAAAATATTTAAATAAAATATTTAAAAATGAAATAAGTATATAATACTTATGTATAATAGTATAAAAAGTATACATACATAAAAATAATAAAATAAATGTGTATTTTATACATATATAAAGTATGTAGAGTATATAAAGTATATAAACAATATTTTATATTTAAAATCAAAAATCAGAAAAGAAAAGAAAATAATTGGCTATATGTAATGGTTTTACCAAAACTACTAAAATGTAGTAAAATGAAGTAAAATGTAAAAACTAGCTCAATATGCATGTGCACCACTGAAGCCGAGACAGAGCTCACATTTGCTCTCGCATGCTGATTTTAAAAATTGAAAATCATTAGGTCAATCATGTTTCATTTGTTCCTCTTGCATGCTTTATTCAAGTGTGGTAAAATTTGAAACGGGTAGAATGTAGGACACCTGTCAGAGCCAGTGCGGCCATCAAACCCGGGTCTTCTCCTGCTACTGTGGGTTAATCTTTGAACTCCCTCTGAGACTCATTAGCCATTTTATTTCGCTAGTGCTAATTATGAGTTTGTGAGGGTGGCGGCATTTGCGAAATACAAACTGGCCGCCCCTGCTGTGCTCTTGCCTTTCCATCAGAGCAACCCACATTCATACAGTCACATCGGCACACTCATGAATATATACAAAAAACCTCTTAAACGCATTCAGCCCACCTGTGGTGCGCATCTGTTCGGCAGCACACACCTGGAGAGAGACCCCCGCAGTCGTCTGGCGCAGAGGAAAAGATGTAAGATTATGGAGTCTTACTTTTTCAAACAGACTGTAGAAAGCCTTTGCTCAAGACCCATACTAAATAAGCAGAGAAAATATTAAAAGTCTGAAGTTTCTCTGTGAATTTTTTCACTGTTATATTTGATCTTACAGAAGCTTTCTGTGCTCGAGTTTGCCTTCAGCAATGAATATTAATTTAGGGATCCACAATTCCTTTGCGTTCCGATAATTGTTGGTGTGGCTCACTTTCAAGTGATCGAATGGACTCAGGTGTTCTGGATTCACCAGCTGCACCTCTGGACCCCCATAAGGCATCATTATCATACTAAAGCAATGAGAGCCATTCGGTCTCCACTGAGAGGCCATGAACAGCATGGTGGCCCCTACAACCATTCGTCATTAAATTACTGTCTGCTCCAGCGTTCTCCAATCACTAAACCCCCTCAGGCTTAAAAAGTACCTTGTCCAAAAGGACAAATCACAAATAAGGTCATATTTCCTCTTGAGAGCCTCACATGTTCTGTTACTGATATTGATTTTGTGACAAAGCCAAAGGTTATTTGCAAAATATGCAAATATACAATCTTATATGCATTCGTTCAACATTATCCTAATTGCTCACACTGCAAGCAAGTATATTTATATTGCTTTATGGTAAAGATGTCAAAACAAAATAATCTATGCAGAAATGAAGATTGTTTTCAGATAATAGGTTTATTTTTCTTAGTGCATTGGTAAATAGCCTATATTCAGGTTTCTTATTATATAAAAATATATAAATATTATATTTAATATTTACATAATATATAATAATTTATATACAAAATATATTGCATTTTGTTGATTTATGCATGAAACAGGAAAAACTATTTGTCAGCGGTGTAAGAAAATTAAATCTCTTTTAAGATATATTCTCCAAAACCATGTCCTAAAATATTGTGCCGTTTTTGCTTCTCAAGTACATTATTTATTCTAAACATATTCAAGTATTTTTATTGGAAAAATGTTTGGGGTTCGAAACTGTTTGTAGTGCAAGACAAAAATATTTTATTTATTTATTTGTTTGTTTGTCTGGAAAAAAGCAAAAATTACTGGTGAAGGAATTATTTGTAGTGCAAGGCAAAATATTTATTTTATTTTACTTTATTTTTTTAATGTTATTTATTTTAAACATATTCAGATATTTTTATTGGAAAGTTAAAAAAAAAAAAAAAAAATACTGGTTGAGAAACTGTTTATACTGCAAGGCAAGAAAATATTTTATTTTTGTTTTGTTTTCCTGAAAAACTGACCATTGAAGTCTGTCTGCTGCTTCTGTTCTTGCTATACATAGGCAACAGATTACATTTATTTACCAAATCCCTGCTCAGTATGTCCCAGCAGCTCTGACTGAAGAGCATCAAGCGGTCATGAACAGCAGTCATCTTCATCCATTAAACAGCTCCTCTTTGCATCATTCCTGAGAGAGGCAAAATCTTAATATTCCCCTCAGCAAACTAGCGCACAGCTCTGGACTAGCTTGTAGAAATGTCATTAGCAAGCTGTGGGGGTCACGTTCCCAGCCCTCTAATCGTTTTTCAGTGGGCTGCTCTCCTACCCACTACAGCGGCATGAAAAGGTGTTCGTTCACATTATGCCATGCATCACTCTGATAGACAGACCCCCTGGGCTCTTCATTAGACCTCCGTTTCCGGCCAGATTGTGTGTGAGGGCCAGGGTTTGAATACGCAATGGGCCTTCTGCGCAGATCAGGAATGAGCCGAGCTGATTGGATGGCGTGAACGGAAGTGTAGGATCCTTTGCACTGGCTGAAATGCAAGAATTGTGGCCATATGTTTAATAAGAATTGTGTGCCTGATACATGCCTTTGAAAAATACCAAAAATAGTAAACTAAAAAGAGAGACCACTTAATTTAACTCAAAATTTCAGAAAGCAAGCATTTAAATATGAATAATTTAAATAGATAGATAGATAGATAGATAGATAGATAGAATAGAATAGAATATTGTAACATAACAGTTTCGGAAATTTGCAGAAATTTAAATAAAACTGAGAAATTAGTTTATTTTTCTTAATCCATTGGTAAATACATTGGTTTTCCTCTTATTGTATTAAAATATATAAGTACAATACAATATTAAATATTTCATTTACAAACAATAATACATATTGTTGATTTATGCTAATTTGTTTAAAACAATATTCAGGTATTGTTATTGGGGGTGGGGGTGGGGGGCTGGTTAGAAAACGGTTTGTAGTGCAAGGCAAAAAATTTTACTAATTTTTATTTTACTTTATTTTATTGTGCAAAACAGTAACTTTTCAGAAAATTTTTACTCAAAATATCTGGTGCAATTTTATAGTTTGAGTACTTTTCCAGACCCGAAAAACTGACCCATTTTTGGGTCCCATTGATTCCATTATATTTTTGTCCATACTATGGAAGTCAGTGGAACTCGAAACCATTTGGTTACCAACATTCTTCAAAATATCTTCTTTTGTGTTTCACAGACCAAAGAAAGTCGTACAGGTTTGAAAAACATGAGGTAATTTTCATTTTTGGCTGAACTATGCCTTTAAGAAAACACACTCATATAAATTCGTTGTGGTATTTTTAAAACATTTTTAATAATAATATTACATGCATCAGAGGGCTAAATAGCATAGCTCATCCCACACAGTTTGTGCTATGGATGTAAATAATACCTCAAATGACATCAGATTTTGCCTGGTGGAATGGTGGAATGGTGGAAAAAAGTCCCTTAGACTCAAGCCATATATAGACCTTTTGTGAATTGCTGCTTAATTATACTACCATTATATTCCAATTCAGATTTTCTAACCCATCATTAGGTGTAATATTAGCCTAAATAGCAGCAAGTTTGCTCACCATTCACAGTGAATTTGCTGAAACAGTGAATGGGGTCAACAGGAGGAAGGATGGAGAATGGAAGACAATGAAAGGGAGGAAAGGAATGGAGAAGTGAAGTAGCTGCATGCTGTAATCCGGCTAAGCAGGCGTTTCTAATGGCCCTCTCAGTGTAAGACATTTACCGCCTCAAAATCCCCCTCACAATAGATCATTCTAAATAAATCCCTCTGCAGCACTCTCCAACACTGCGCTCTAGCAGTGCTTGATAAATGGCAGTGTGTAAACTGAGGTGATGTTTATTGAATCTGCGAGAGTTATTCATGCTGAAAGAAGCATTTTCAGCAGTTTGACTGGAATTTTCATGGTCAAATACATTTCTGTACAATTAAGCCAGTTCATTAGTATTAACAGCACAGCCATCTGCTACTCACAACAGAAACCCCTCTATAGGACTTTAGATGAGGAAATCAGCTATAAGGGGAAAATATGTCATGATAATGAGATCCAAATATAGGTTCAGTCTAATTAGATACAATGATAATTTCTCACCCATTTCCAGCCATTTATTGTAATGTTGAGCAATGCAATGTTGCTAATATTTGAATGCAAAGAATTTAAACCTCACCTGACTAATTTGGACCAGGCACAGACAGATGTTTTCCCTCTTTGCTTTTCCACAGATTCCACCAGGTCAAAGAGACACAGAAAAGGTCAAGCTCACAATGTGTTGTGGTTCTCTGCTTTTGCTTCAGGAACCAGATTTTATGTTGAGCATCAACTGACAATCCAGCACAGCAAAAAAACAAAAACAAAAAAATTAACAATTTTAAAAAAAGAAAAGGAATAAATGAATTTATAAATATTTCTACAAATTTAATTATTTATTATTTAATTAAAATTATTAAATGTTATTATTATTATTATTGTTATATGCATTTATGTACTATATATGTGATTATAAATAATAATAAAATAATATAAAATAATAAATTACAAAATAAATCATATAATATTAGACACACACACACACACATTACAGAAACTAATATTTTGTAATATTAATGTTGTCACAGTTGAAAGTATGTCACTCAACCTGTCTTAATTTATTTGTTTCTTTGCAATTTTTTGCCATAATAATGCTCGAGAACACATGCTTTTGACAACATGCTTTTAAAAGGTTTCATTTCAGCCTTTGTTTTAAAAATTAATGTGTGGTAATACTACTACAACAATACTAATAAGTATAATATTTATAATATTATTTATAATAATATAATAAAATATAATAATATAATAAACAATTTTCTATTTATTTATTTATTTATCTGATGTGCTTAATAATCATAAGACACTTCATTGCCTATTAAGGAAACATTTACAAAGAGGGTTCTGATAACATTAACTGTTTGTGAATTTTGAGTTGCAAACCATTGGATTATTATGGTATATGAAAACTGATCTTCACTAGGTTCTACAATTGCTTTCAAAACATCATATATACAGAGAATTACAGAGAGAAAATGACGTTTATTCAGCTAAAAGAAAGAGAGAAATAACAGGTGAGATGTTTCTTAATGGAAGGTGCTGTCAAAGCTGGACGGCACCATCTAATTTCGAGGCTTCAAACCACACCCAACTCTGCAGCCAGAGAACAATGAACAAAAGCATTGCGATGGTCTACAAAACCACAAAGAAAAATGTTTATTTACATTTTTCTCTCTCTTCATTTTTTCACCCAGTCCAAAAGATTAATTTGCTATTGCTACTATAAGTGAAATTAAATTACAAGATAATTGCGATGTGTCAAAGAGATCTTTCTCTCCAGAGGATGTCCCTCCCCCATCCCGTGACTGATGTCTCCGCCACCTTTCATGACCTGAGTAATGGATGGGGTGATTACAAAAGCATGTACCCAAAAAACACGAAGAGAAATATTCTGCTGTCCTCCAGAGTCGCTCCTTATGTACGCACATCATGAGTTGTTGGCTAGCATTGGTACAAGTATAAAATATGAGTTTAATAAAATAGACAGTGTAGCACTGGGGCGCTGTTGTGTCACCCATCATATCTTAATTCATTGATAAGTCAGTGCTGTGAAATGGTGGAAGCCAGTGGCACATCCCAAGGGCAGCCTCGTGTTTCGTGTAGAGCAAACGTGGAGTGTCATTAGGTTAGCTTGAGATGGTCTTGGAGAGAATGCCACAAAATATCATTTGGAGCAAAACTGTGCCTCTTGGTTACTTGTTTGTAGCTTGTTTCACAATGTTTTCCAATAACGTCAGGAGTGCAGCAAGCGAAAGGAAGGGAATTATAGGGGTCATGCCATGCATTTTCACGTTTATCGCAAATTGGACCCAATATAATGCACACATTTTGAGTTTCAGAGAGTGATACGCTCTTAGAAGGTTCTCGCAAAGAAGTAACCGTTTTTTCAATGTTAACAGACTTTATAAAACGCTATCATGAAAGCATTATTAACTTTTTGTTAGTGTAACATTACTAAAGGCAGTTTGACTATTG